CCGCCCGCCGCTGCCAGGAGAGAGCTCGCAGGAGGGGGCCGGGCGGGAGGAAAGCGCGGACTGGATCCACACGGCGGCTAGAGGCACCGTGTGCTGGAGCAAGGCCGGGATCATGTACAGGCCTTGTCACATGTAGCCCGGGCTCACATACAAGCCGGCTTTGTATGGCACCATGTCAGGACATTAAAAATAAGCAGTAAATCCAACATGCATATGAGATGACAGAGGAATGACTGAGCAGTAATAATGGTGTGCACCAATAATGGTGTGCACCATTGGCCAGACGTGCCTGTTTATGTACTGAGAAGTAACAATGGGGTGCAGCATGGGCCAGATCTGCCAGTTTATGTACTGAGCAGTAATAATGGTGTGCAGCCAACCTGGGGAAACTGCTGCGACTGGCTGGGACAATTCAATGTGGGTGATCAGTCCTCAGCCTGTTACTATGGGGGGTGCCATGGGCAGATAGAGCTAAAAGATCACAGACCCGGAAGAGGCCAGTGAGATGTCGGTGCTGGTGAGGGAGCTCACAAATGTCACATTGTTGGATGGGCCATATTATGGCAACACATCATTTACAGTTAGTTTAACAAAAGAAAGTCAGAGACTAGGAGCATACTACAAGAGATGGTGAGACTAGGGGCATGAGATGGTGAGGCTAGGGGCACGCTACAAGAGATGGTGAGGCTAGGGGCACGTTACAAGAGATGGCGAGACTAGGGGCATGAGATGGTGAGGCTAGGGGCACGCTACAAGAGATGATGAGGCTAGGAGCACGCTACAAGAGATGGCGAGACTAGGGGCATGCCACACGAGATGATGAGACTAGGGGCACGCTACAAGAGATAGTGAGACTAGGGGCATACTACAAGAGATGGCGAGACTAGGGGCACGCTACAAGAGATAGTGAGACTAGGGGCATACTACAAGAGATGGCGAGACTAGGGGCATGCTACAAGAGATGGCAAGACTAGGGGCACGCTACAAGAGATGGCGAGGCTAGGGGCACCCTACAAGAGATGGTGACACTAGGGGCATGCTACAAGAGATGGTGAGGCTAGGGGCATGAAATAAAAGATATGGTGAGAATATGGAAATGCTACAAGTGATGACTGTACTCTGGTCATGCTACAAGAGAAGGTGAGAATACGGACATGCTACCAGGAAATACTTTGGCTGGGTTCACACCTAGGCGTATCAAATATGCGCGCTTGTCGAGCGTTTTTACAGCGATTCGCGGTAAAAAACCGTGCGACAAACGTGCGTTTCCAAGGGCTACTTGGCTGTATCCCAATGGAAACGCGCGACAAAAACGCCCCAAAGAAGCTCCTGTACTTCTTTGGGCGTTTTGTAGCGCGTTCATACGGCCTGTAATACGCCCAGGTGTGAACCATACCCATAGGAAATAATGGGATTTCTGTGTTTGAGCGTTTTGCAGAGCGTTCAAACGCTCTACAAAACGCCCAGGTGTGAACCAGGCCTTTATGCTACTGCCATCACTACTTTAGCATTTTTGTAACAGTCATCTTAAGGCATAAAGTGCCTCTTCCTTTGCAATCCCCTTATTAGCACATACTGTATAGAATGTATATATATATATATTTCTGTATATAACCCTTTGAGACAACAACCAAATTCCACCATGCCCACCCAGAGTCGTAGCTAGCTCCTTTTGCGCCCGAGGCAAGAATAGAAAATTGTGCCTCCCCAACAGGCGTGTGATGTCATCCGACGCTGCGCACGCAAAGCAGCATGTGACGTCATGCACCCGCCTCCAGGATGGCAACGTGTATGCGCAGAAAGTGTGGGTAGCCGAATCCACAATATCAAAAAAAAATTTTTCATTTGACAAAACAAATGAAAACGTTTTTAGTTTTCATTCATTTCGTACAAAACAAATTTTTAGTCTTTGCACATGTCTAATAATATGTGTGTGTGGGGGAGGGTTTGGGGTGTTGTGTGTGTTTTTTAAATATTATGTTTTATTTATTTTACTGTTGGGGGTGGGGGGGGAATTTGGGGAAATATCAGGGGGCCAGACAGACCCCTTACATTTACCTTTTTAAAATTGAAAAAGAAATTGAGGACACATAGTCCTCAATCTCTTTGTCTGCAGCCTCAGCAGTTAATGAATGGAGAGCACTCACAGTGATGATAGTAAAATGTTTACTATCATCCAGTTATGAATGGGTAGAATCCTTTGTACTGAGTGTTTCTACCCATTCAGAAACTCATGAATGAACAGGAAGTGATGTAAAGCACTTCCTGTTCATAAATGGGGACACATATGTGTCCCCAGTTGTTTACAAACATTGTTTGGTCACTCCAGTGTTTGTGCTGCACACAGAAGATCAGTAAATATCACACATATTTACCCATCCTCCGCTCTCCATCCTTACCCACTCGGCCATGCACAGAGCCTGTTAGATCCTGGCTGAGTGGCTCTCTCTCTTCTCCCGCTCGGCCATCCTGGATGAGAGCTCCCTCCTCCACCCCCCCTGGCGGCTGCCCATTTCTCCTCGAATCCCTGCTGCCTGTGCCAATACAGGCATCTGAGGAGAAGCTGCAGGCTGTGCTCTTCTCCCTGCCGCGCTGAGCCGAGGCCGAGCTGTGTTGGCAACAGGGGGGCGCACCCGCCTCACCCTTGCTACGGCTTTGTGCCCACCAATGAATGTGGTGGGACAGCGCAAAAATGCCCTACTATGAAGGGCCCTGGTGTAGGTGTTTGCCCTCTAAGCCAAATTCTCCCAATCCTCCCAAGTGCCAAAAACAAATGTGCACTCAGCTCACCTGAGCATATATGTAAGAAGATGGGGTAATGGGCAGGAAATTCCCAAATGTTTGCTTAGTCAAATTTGGTCTGATTAGGTAATCATCTCATGTCTACAGCCAACTAAAATCTTACCAGCCTGATTGAAGAGTTGGTTATATTTTTGTCTCAGAGTCTCTATTGCCTATGTATGAATCATACAAAACACAACATAGATCATATGCACAAAGGACGTTCTGGTCATTTTCTAACAGATGACCATAATCTGACGTCTGTGGGGATCTTAAACCTAGTAGCAAATAAACACTGAGGCTGCTGGATGCAGCTAGTCATGATCTGCATTTTCTGCTCAGGAATTGTTTTGCTCAGTGGCAGCTCAATACTGACTTTAATACAGTTTATTTATAATGCGCTATAAATATTCTATAAAAAAGAGCGCTGATGAGGATAATTTTAAGTACAACCTCTACATCAGTTGTTTCTTTATTTTATTAACACTAGAAAAATGATGGCTAGAATAGATTTAATTGCGGTATATTACAGCACCCTTTTTCTTGAAAACCACTTTTAGTAAACATAGCTCATTGTTTAGAATGCTAAAGTGCCGTTAAGCCATTTCAAGAAGTACAATCATTCAGGGAACCTCTAATGTAGCCCAGAAAGCATTGCCATTGGCTACAAATCAGAAAGTCCTCTCAATTTACTGTGAGTTTCAGATCAATTTTGTCATTGTCAGATTGAGCAGAAGGCCTCTGGTTGGGGTGTTGTCCACTTGCCGGTTACTCTTTGCTTCTTTATCCTTAAAAAAATTAACTTGTACCTTATACAGTGCTGTAAGAGGGGCTGGAACATCATTAACGTCTTAGGAGTGTGCGTCCAACCAGGCTCTTGACAGACTTTGATGGGTGGAGCTGAGAATTTCAGGCAAGCAGAATCACAGACTCAATATTATGTGTTCTGAGAACTTTGTGTCATCAGCAACCAGATGGTTTAGCGTGCTACATTTTAACATATATCTGAACATACGTCTAAACCCCAAAGCAATTACTAGGGTGAGTCAAAAAGTATCTGCACCCTGGTTATATTAAAACTTCTGTTGGCCGTACTGTCTTATCAGCACTTTCTGTTCAAGGCTACTGTCTCCCCAGTCACTGCTGTGGCGGTGTGAACGTGTTATGTTAGTTCATTTGTAACTGCAGTGTGAGAAAAAAATGGATGCCCCACTTGTGATTTGCACGAAAGAAGAGCAGCGTGCAGTGATTGTTTTTCTGTGGTCCGAGGGTGTGCCTGGTGCCGTTATTTAGACTTTGTGCGCAGTATGGAGAAAGTGTTTTGTAGCGAAGTATGTATGAATGGATAGAGAAGTTCAAGGAAGGTCGCACAAGTGTTAGCCATCAAGAAGGAGCCGGGCGCACGTCCACGGCTGATGACGACATTGAGCGTACACGTGAGATGATTCTGTCGAATAGACGAGTGACAGTGGATTATGTGGCTCTGGTCCCCTGAAAGCAGCCCTACGAGGACGAAGATTCACCTCTGATGAAGAAGTGAAGACAGTGCTGCATTCGTGGCTCGCAGTGCAGCCTAAAACATGTTTTAATGAGGGAATACAAAAGCTTGTTGACAGATGGACAAAGTGTATTGAAAAGCCAGGAGATTATGTTAAAA